GAGAGATACTGATGGAGGAGCTTGGGTAACTCCTCTGTCAGAACACATTCCCTGCAGCTGAATGCAAGAACCAAGACGGGGAGCAGCCCAGACCAGGCTAAAATATGCAACCCATTGGGATACATTTGGTGCAGGTTGAGAGCGAGCCAGGCTAGGCCAGTTCACATCACCTGCTGGCAAATCTGAGCACCAGAATGGAGTGTGGGTTGGGGCTGGGTCAGGGTGCAATACCAGCCAGTTCACATGAGGGCCAGGACTGGCGGCTGGCTGTGCTGGGGATAGGCTGTAGCTCCCACCAGCGTGAGTTGGAATTGGTGGTGGGCCAGGCTCATCCAGGTTACAGCACCGACTGGCAAGTGCCGAGGTGGGTCAGGCTGTTCCAGACTGGGTCTAAACCCCCAACCAGCACATGTGAAATCCAGGGGGTAGTGGGAACGAATCCAGTCAATGGGGCTTTGAGGCCCCCCTTCTGGGTCACTGCTCCCAATTGTGAGCATGAGAGCTGGGATGAGACATGTGAGCTGGAACAGGGAAAAGCCAGGCTGGGCTGACTGTACCTTCTGGTACATGTGCAAGCCAGAGTGGGTGTGGGTGAGTTGGGCTTTGCCACAGCATCAGCTGGCAGGCGCTGGCATGTGTAGACAGATGGTGGTACCCACTGATACCAGTGTGGACTGGATATTGGGACTGGTTGAGATGAACTGGGTTTCAATGCCCATTGACATGTAAGGGAACCAAATGGGATATGGGACAGATGGGACCAGTCAGCTTTTCATACTGGCAAGCACAGGAACCAGGGTAGGGGGCAGGCCTGGTGGGGGTTATTATTGCTCTGACTAGGCTGCAGCTCCCATGGGTTCATGTGGAGGCCGAGTATGTGGTGGGCAGGATCAGGCTGGACTCCAACACATATTGGGTTGCGTAAAACATGGCACTGGAGACAGAACTGATTCAGCAATTGCACTACCAGTGTGTGCTCAGGCTGATTTGGGTGATGGACTGTGCCAGACCCTGTATTGGCATACACACAAAAGAATTGGGTCTGGGATCACCTCAGATGAAATTTCTTTGGTGATTCCCTCCCAACTGTCTGCTGGACTCAGAACCCTAACCATGGAGAGAAGTGCAGGTTCCATGGTCTGACCATGTCAGAGCTGGGCCTCTTCAGTGTATCAGATGGAGCAGTGGACAGCATATATAAATACACATGGAGGATATGGCAATACATTGGAGCCTGCAGAGGACGGAGGACAGAACAAATCGATCAACTACCCCAGTGTTGATTGTGTTGGCAGTGAATACCTGGGCAAATGGAGACTAGGGTGGACTGTCAGCCAGTGGATTCTAGAGGGATTTCATTGCGATTGGAGTAGTGGGATCAACAAAAATTCAGGACTGTTGAACTATCAAAACCTCTTGAGAACTTCATGGCATTGTACATTTCTATTTTTCTTCCTGTTGTTAATTTTGCATTGTGGCTTTTCACTTAAGGGGATGTTTAGTAACTGTGTAATGGAGACTATCATATCCAGACTGTCATCTTGACAATAGGATGCTGGACTCTCTGCCATTGTCCATGCCTGCAATGAGGGACGTATGCCTGTTGATGAAGAACTATACTATAGTAATAATATAGGGGAACTCAGTGGTAGGGGAGGGAATTTTGGGTGAGGGTGAGAGAAATCCCAAGGCCTATGGAACTGTATCATAAAATGATGATGATAATAATAAATTAATTAAAAATGTCACTTCATAGGTTAGCTGACAAAGTGAAACTGCAATTTGACTTATGTGACACAACGCTGGATTTAATACAATTATATTTATCCTCCCCCCCCTTTTTTCATATTTTATTTATTTTTATTGGAAAGGCAGATTTACAGGTAGGAGATACAGATAGAAAGAGCTTCCATCTGCTGGTTCATTCCCCAAATGTTGCAATGGCTGGAGGCTATCTGGTCCGAAGTCAGTAAGCCAGGAGTTTCCTCTGGGTCTCCTACATAGGTGCAGAGTCCCAAGCCATCCTCTACTGCTTTCTTGCACCCTAAGCAGGGAGCTGGATTAGAAGCAGCCAGAACATGAACTGTCACCCATATGGGATATATAGAAGATTAGCCAGTTGAGCCATCATGCTGGTCCCTAAACCCTGTTTTTTAATCTGTCTTGCTATCAAGTTATAGAATTTTCTTATAAATCACAGATTCTCAATATTAATTTTGTATCAAATCATTTGCACATATTTCGCCTGTGAAATTGGCTTTATTTTCACCTTATTTAGAATGTCATTTGATACACAAAGGGCTTAGTTGTATGTAATGCCTCTTAATTTTTCTTTTGTTGCCTATGTAATGTAAAGGATTGTCAAACAAGTTATTTTTACATCAATATTGCCATTTTTCTACCACCAAATTCATATAGCTTTGAAGAAAAATATGAACATTTTTCATTGATTTTAGCAAGTAATTTTCAATTTAAATTTAACAGGTTTGCTGCTACGGTATCATTCTATGGACATAATGATGTTTTCAACATTTCAAGTATGTCAAGTTTTGCTGGTTAAGCAGGTTTCTAATACATTATCTACTCCATGGGAAATGACTCTGCCATGAAAAAGAATAAAATAGGGCCTGACACGATAGTGTAATGGTTAAGGTCCTTGCCTTGAACTTGCCGAGATCCCATATGGGCACCGGTTCTAATCCTGGCAACTCCAGTTCCCATCCAGCTCCCTGCTTGTGGCCTAGGAAAAGCAGTCGAGGAAGACTGAAAGCCTTGGGACCCTGCACCTGTGTGACAGACAAGGAAGAAGCTTCTGGCCTTTGGCTTTGGATCAGCTCAGCTTCAGATATTGTGGCCCTTTGGGGAGAGAACCAGGAGTGGAAGGTCTTCTGTCTCTCCTTCTCTCTGTAAATTTGACATTCCAATAAAAATAAATAAATCTTTTAAAATGAAAAAATTGTAATACTTTAAAACAACAACAGGGCCTGGCACAATAGCACAGTGGTTAAAGTCCTAGCCTTGAGTGCCCGGGATCCCAGATGGGCACCAGTTCGTATCCCCCGGCAGTCCTGCTTCCCATCTAGCTCCCTGCCTGTGGCCTGGGAAAGCAGTCCAAGGACAGCCCAAAGCTTTGGCACCCTGCACCCGTGTGGGAGAACTGGAAGAGGCTCCTGGCTCCTGGCTTCGGATTGGCTCAGCTCCAGCTTTTGCTGCCGCTTGGGGAGTGAACCATTGGATGGAAGGTCTTCCTCTCTGTCTCTCCTCCTCTCTGTATATCTGCCTAATAAAAATAAATAAATCTTAAAAAATGAAAAACAACAAAAAATGTTTTTAAAAATAAATAAATTATATGTAGGGTCAGGCATAGATTAAGATCTTCCAACTGTTTTAGTCTAGTTTTGGAATACAGGCATCATTGGCCTCAGGATAAGGTTGGAAGAGCTTTCTCTCTTTCAGACTTATCAAATAATTCTAAAGCTACTGTCAATTTCGTAGAATTTAGTAGTGAAGTCATCTGGTCCTGACCTTTTTCTTGAAGTTTTTATTTTCAAAAATTCTTTTATTTATTTATGTAAAATTTATTTATTTTTATTACAAAGTCAGATATACAGAGAGGAGGAGAGACAGAGAGGAAGATCTTCAGTCTGCAACGGCCGGTGCTGCGCCAATCCAAAGCCGGGAACCTAGAACCTCTTCTAGGTCTCCCACATGGTGCAGGATCCCAAGGCTTTGTGCCATCCTCAACTGCTTTCCCAGGCCACAAGCAAGGAGCTGGATGGGAAGTGGGGCTGCCGGGATTAGAACTGGCGCCCATATGGGATCCTGGCACTTTCAAGGCGAGGACTTTAGCCACTAGACCACGCCACCAGGCCCAAAATTCTTTTATTTTTAAAATTTATTTTGAATTTTATGGTACAATTATGTAGGGTCTGGGATCGGCCCCCCTCAAATCCCCTCCCCCCTACTGATTTTCCCTATATTGCTACAATAGTATAGTACTTCATAACTAGTTAGAGTTCCATCAGTCTGTTATTTAAGTGTGCTCCGACATTGTTGGTACAGACATACAGAGAGGAGTAGAGACAGAGAGGAAGATTTTCGAATATTGTTTCCAATTTTATTCTTCCTATATATGGGGAAGGGGAAAGGAGGGGACCAGCCACATCCAGATTCTCAACTGCATAAGTACCCGGGGATGGGAGATAGACACCTGATGTCATTTCAGGGTCCCCCATGCTGAGCATGTACCTAGGGTACTGGTTAAGCGATATTGATAGTTCTGAGACGCTGTTGATTTGTTGCTCCAGAGATGAGGCAATCTGTCCACGGTCTGCGGGCTAACATCCCCCTCGGAGTTCCACCCAGCCAGACACTTGCTCTCATCACTTAGCTAGCACATGGAGGATCTTTGTCTCTTGCTTCTCTGCAGATCTGCCTTCCTAATTTGAATTGATCACGCAGTCTCAAGGAGGTCTTCCTTGGCCTTATCATCTGTAAAACCCTATTCCTACCCAGTGATGCTGATTTATTTTGTTTCTCCAGCCAATGCAGCTGACATCCTGCATCCATTTCTGTCATGACGTTGCTAGCATAATGGTGACTAGGAATAAGCAAGACCAGTTCTCATAATTCTTTTTTTTTTTAAAGATTTATTTTTATTATTTTTTTATTGGAAAGGCGGATATACAGAGAGGAGAGACAGAGAGGAAGATCTTCCGTCCGATGATTCACTCCCCAAGTGAGCGCAACGGGCCGATGCTATGCTGATCCAAAGCCAGGAGCCTCTTTCGGGTCTCCCACACGGGTGCAGGGTCCAAAGCTTTGGGCCGTCCTCCACTGCTTTCCCAGGCCACAAGCAGGGAGCTGGAAGGGAGGCGGGGCTGCCGGGATTAGAACCCGCGCCCATATGGGATCCCGGGCGTGCAAGGCGAGGACCTTTAACCACTTGCGCCACCGCGCCGGGCCCCAGTTCTCATAATTCTTGTTCCCTTTCTCTTCCAGGTATAGTCCCGAAGCCCACTCATGTATCCAAGATTAGAAGAAATGAACACGCAGACAGTAAGTTCTTTATTTCTCAGCTTGTTTCACATTGTATTTTAGAAGCTTTATGTGGGTGTTTTAGTTCAAATGGAAAAACAGGTATATAATAAGCAAAATTGTCATGACTAAGACATTCAAACTCTCAAACCTGATTGAAACCTTCTGCCCAGGCTTTCCAGTGCCTTAGCCAAGCCTTTTCTACATGATTAAAACTGGAACTTAAAACTGGTTTATTCTTCTGTGATATCAAATCTGAAATGGTCTTTATTGATCTTATGATATAAGCAAAGTGGTTTAATACAGACCTGGAAATAGACACTCAACATTTCGCAGTGATAAGAGTTACCTAGGGCCCGGTGTGGTAGCCTAATGTCTAAAGTCCTAGCCTTTTTTTAAAGATTTATTTGTTTTTATTACGAAGTCAGATATACAGAGAGGAGGAGAGACAGAGAAGAATATCTTCCGTCTGATGATTCACTCCCTAAATGACCGCAACGGCCGATGCTCGGCCGATCTGAAGCCAGGAACCAGGAACTTCCTTCCAGGTCTCCCACACAGGTCCAGGGTCCCAAAGCTTTGGGCCATCCTCAACTGCTTTCCCAGGCCACAAGCAGGGAGCTGGATGGGAAGTGGAGCTGCCGGGATTAGAACTGGCGCCCATATGGGATCCCGGTGCGTTCAAGGCGAGGACTTCAGCCACTAGGCCATGCTGCCAGGCCCTAAAGTCCTAGCTTTGCAGGCACCGAATCCCATGTAGGTGCTGGTTCATGTCCTGGTGACTCTGCTTCTCATCCAGCTAAGCCCCCTGCTTATGGCCTGGGAAAGCAGTTGAGGATGGCCCAAACAAAACCTGGGGACCCTGCACCTACATGGAAGACTCAGAGGAAGCTCCTGGTTCCTAGCTTTAGATTGGCTCAACTCCAGCCACTGTGGCCACTTGGGGAGTGAATCAGTGAATGCCAGATCTTTCTGCCTGCCTCTCCTCTCTGTATTAAAAAAAAAAAATTTTTTTTAAGAGTTACCTAGTGCTAAAAGAAAAAGTAAGTTTTGAAATCCTGAAATAGTGTGTTTCCTAATAGCATGTGGGAAGCTATGTTACACTCATGAGCTGTGACAGGAATGTGTGGAGAACACATTCCTTTTTTTAATATTGATTACGTTTCATTTTGTGACGCAGTTTCATAGGCTCTGGGATTCCCCAACCCCTCCTCATATCCCCCCCCCCGCCATGGTGGATTCCTCTACCTTATTGCAATATTACAGTTCAAATCCAGTCAAGATTCTTTCATTGCAGGCATATACCAAGCATAGAGTCCAGATACATTCAATGGTTTCTTGTGGAGACCATCTCTGGTCTGAAGGCTCTGTTGGCAGAATATCATCCCGACCAATTAAAAGCCCCAATATAACATCAACAACAATTTACATCATTATGGAGTTAATTGACATGGTATTGAGTAACCAGTATGTTAAAAAATGCAGGTTCTTAACCACATCTACTTCATTGGCATTTCAATTTTAGATTATATACAACTGGCTTCTATATACCTTAAAATGGCTATAGGATACTATTCAGCTGTCTCGGAACACATTCCTTTTTAAATTTTTTAAAAAATTATTTATGGGCCCGGCGCGGTGGCACAGTGGTTAAGGTCCTCACCTTGCACGCACTGGGATCCCATGTGGGCGCCGGTTCTAATCCTGGCAGCCCCGCTTCCCATCCAGCTCCCTGCCTGTGGCCTGGGAAAGCAGTCAAGGACGGCCCAAAGCTTTGGGACCCTGCACCCGCATGGGAGACCCGGAAGAGGCTCCTGGCTTCGGATCGGCATAGCATCAGCCATTGCGCTCACTTGGGGAGTGAATCATCGGACAGAAGATCTTCCTCTCTGTCTCTCCTCCTCTCTGTATATCCGCCTTTTCAATAAAAATAAAATAAATCTTAAAATAAAAAAGTTATTTATTTATTCATCCATTCTGTCATTCATTGACTATAAAGGTTAAGTGACAGAAAGAAAAGGAATGTGCTTACCATCTGCTGGTTCATTCTCCAAATGGTCACAGTGGTCCAATGTTGGACCCAACAGGGCTGGACTGAGTGAAAGAGAGGAACCAAGTGTTTGTGTTGGTCTCCCATAGAAGTGTCCCATCCAATTTTTGGGCTATCTTTCACTATTTTCTAATCAGCAGAGATGGGATTATATTGAAGCAGGTGGTAGCTTGTTATGCTGTGCCACTGATACCAGCTCTACATGTAGGTTCATTTCTCTTAGAGATTTTCTCATTAATTTGAAAGGCAGAGCCATGCTGATTCAGTCCCCCAAATTGCCATTTGAGGAGTAAGACTTTCTGATACCATGAGCCAGGAGTTTCATCCAGGTCTCTCACTTAGGTGTAGGGACGCAAGTGTTTGGGCCATACTCCACTGCCTTTGTAGGTCCTTTAGCAGGGAGCTGAATCAGAAGTTGAGGCTCCAGGACATGAACCAATGCTCTTATTGGATCCCAGTGGCTTTACCTGCTAAACTTTAGTGCAAATCCCATGTTGCATGTTCTTTTAGAATTTGAAAGGTAGAGTTAGAAAAAGAGAGAGGAGAGAGAGATAAATGTTCCATCTGCTGCTTCATTGTGCAAATGGCCACAATGGAAAGTCACAGCTGAAAGGCAGAGACCGAGTCCTAGGCTTTCTCCAGGCCCAAGAGATCATGAGGCCCAAGTACATCATGAGGGGAACTGGATTAAGGCCCTGGACCCCCCTGCCGCTAACATCTTATGGCTGGAGGAGGTTGGGAGGGGTTTGGGTCTTGGGGTTGGGGCAAAAGCAGCTCCCTGCAGTGTGGAGGCTGTAGCGGGGTGTCCCAGCCAGGCCGGACCCAATGCTGGGGACTCGGGCCAAAGTCACTGCCGAAAGGCAATGACCAAGTCCTAGGCTTTGGGCTCTGCCTCCCAGCGGCCTAGCAGTGAACTCTGGGTTTTTCGGGATATGTAATTGCTGCTTAGGGACACCCATGGATAAGGCCAGTGTGAGTGTAGGTGAGGGATGAATTCTGGGTGATTCCCAGCAATGGTGTCACGGAACTTTCTGGCAATTGTGGGGATTGAGACCTGGTGGTTTGCAGGGGAGAGTCCATAAGATCTATTTGGGCCAGACTGAACACCAGCCCAAAAGGGAATCCTGAGATGGGCTGTTAGCATAGAGCATCACTGATTGCCTCGCAGCAGTCCACATGAAAGTGATGGCAGGGGGCCTGTCTGGCAGGGCTAGGTACCAGTACCTGACTGGGTGGTGGAACAGTGGACTGGTCACACTTGGCAGGGTCAAGATACTAACCAGCATGTGAGAGAACCAGGTCCAGAGGTAGATTCTGTGGGGGAAGTATGGGCCCAACCTTGTAGAAATGTAAGTCCCGCAGGTTAGATCATGAGCTGGGGTGGGGATGAGCTGAGCTAGGTGTGATCATGGGCTGTGTGTGATCATGGAATGTGCCATAACTTATGGGTAAATGAATCAACAGTCTGTGCAGGTCAAGGCACATCAAGGGCATCCTAAAACAGGATGTGGAGTGGGCTGAGCTGCAACTGGAAGGGGGTGGACTGGGCAGGGCCACCCTCAACTCACAAGGAAGAACACAGGATGGAACAGACTAGGCTAGGTCTCTGCCCCTACTGAGCCATGTGTGAGCAGTGTCTGGGTATGGACGAGCCTTCGCTGGGCTGAAACAGCCAACAGTAAGAACAGGAATGGATTGAAGGCCAGCAAGGAGGGCTGGCCCTTGGGCCCGGCGCGGTGGCGCAAGTGGTTAAAGGTCCTCGCCTTGCACGCCCGGGATCCCATATGGGCGCCGGTTCTAATCCCAGCAGCCCCGCTTCCCTTCCAGCTCCCTGCCTGTGGCCTGGGAAAGCAGTCAAGGACGGCCCAAAGCTTTGGGACCCTGCACCCACGTGGGAGACCTGGAAGAGGCTCCTGGCTTCGGATCGGCATAGTATCGACCCGTTGCGCTCACTTGGGGAGTGAATCATCAGACGGAAGAAATTCCTCTCTGTCTCTCCTCTCTGTATATCCGCCTTTCCAATAAAAAAATAATAAAAATAAATCTTTAAAAAAAAAAAAAAAAAGGAGGGCTGGCCCATGGACCCACCAATACGGGCAAGATCAGGCATAGGGAAAGGTTCTGATGGAGGAGTTTGGGAAACTACTCTGTTGGGACACAGCCTTTCCTGCAGTTGCGCACAAGAACCATGATAGGAAGCAACCCAGACCAGGACAGAGAAAGATAACCACCAGCATAGGTGGGGGGTAGATCAGGCTGAACCAGTTTATATCACCTGTGGCGAATCCAAGCACCATAACAGAGTGTGGGTTGGGCCAGGTTCGGTCACGACACAAACCAGTGCACATTATGGAATGCCAAGGTGAGGTGAACTGTACCAGATATGATTGCAGCAGCCAAACAGCACATGTGAGGACTAGAGAGGGGGCAAAGCTGGTTGCTGGAATGTGGGCTCCCCTGCTGGACAATCATTCACACTGGAGAGCGTGAGTTGAGATGGGGGCAGACCAGACCAGGCAGGGCTACAACACCTATGGGCCTCATGTGAGCTACATCAGGAAAAAGGCTGGGCTGACTGTTCTGACTGGTGTGAGCAAAAATTAGAGTGGGTGAGGGTTGGTTGGGCTTTGCTACTGCATCAGCTGGCAGAGGCTGGCACTGGTGGCTAAATCTGTCAAGTTAAACTCCAGAACCACCTGGAGAGTGCACAATCAGGCAGTTGGAGTAGCCTAGTAGGGAAATAGTGGGCACCTCCCTCTTGGATTACCACTCCCACTGCAGAGCATGGAAACCAGGACAGGAGCAGGGGTGGCTAGACAGAAAGATACCCACCAGTATGTGTGTGGGCTGGATAGTAGGGTTGGTTGGGTTGAACTAGGTTTTAATGCCCATTGACATGTATGAGAGCTGAATGGGATGTGGGACAAACTGATCAAGTCTGCGATACATACTGGCATGCATGGGAACCAGG